TATTTATTATAAACATCTGAGCACACACTTAGAAGCAGCTAGGTAGGGTGTGGGTAACACATCTGGAGTCAGGAAGACCTGAGTTCAAATCTAGTCTCAGATACTTACTATGTGACCCTCAGCAAGTCATTTAACCTCTATCTGCCTCAGTTTTCTCATCTGTAAAAGGGGGATAATAACAACACTTACCTCCCAAGGTTGTTGCGAGGACCAAATAAAATAATATTTATATATCATTCTGCAAACCTAAAATCATGAGAACTATATTTATCCACCCCCCTCAAATAATTCAGGTCTAGGAATATAATGTTTAGGGGTTCAGAAGGAAAGTGACCCCCTCATTGCTCCCAAGGGGAAAGGTAGCCTTTATTTTTCACTCTCCATTTTAATTCCTTCCCATAAAACTCTGGTTACACAAAAGGCCATAACAAAAAGTGAACAGTGAGTAAACCCATTTATAACCACATAAAAGAGCAAATAGAAATTGGAGACATTTTAGATCTTAGAATATACCTAAGACTGAATGAGCTTTTCAGCTTAAAGTGAAATGACTTTTCAGGTCAAACACAGAGAGATAGAGAAAGACAGTGATAGACAGAGACAGAGAGCCAGAATCAGAGAGAGAGAGAGAGAGAGAGAGAGAGAGAGAGAGAGAGAGAGAGAGAGAGAGAGAGAGTTCTCTCTTCCAAGGAAGTCCATTCTAACAGTCTCTAGGGAGACAAGGTTGATGTCTGCAGCTTTTCTCTACACAGTGTCTCTCCTGAAGAACCTCTTAGAATCCCTCATGTCTCTTTCCAAAAAAAGATCTAACACCAAATCAGGAAATTCTTTACGCAGGTATGTAGCATTGTGAAAGCATTTTCTCTGCCAGTCAGGAGTTACATCTCTATCCACCTACTTAACAGCATACAAAACAACCGAGGCTTGGTTGGAAGCCTGTTTACATACTAACTATATGTTTATACATCTTTCGTTTTAACTTACATTTCCCAATCTATCCCCTCTCTTCCTTACCTTTTAGAAGGCCATTCCTTATAATAGAGAATAAAAACATGAAAAAGAAAAACACTTCAGCAAAACTAAACAAAGTAAGCATATTCAAAAAGCCTGACATCATATGTAGTGTACCATAATCAGGTAAAGCTTCTGACGGGTGGGGAGGTTGGAGAGTCTCCCAGGCTCTTCTGCCTCATAAGTCAGTAACTTTCCATACAGCTACTGGTTCTGATAAAATAACCAGGAAGAACTTTGGAAGTAGAGTTGGGGGTGGGGTGGGGGTGGTGCGTGGGGATTTCCTTTAGAGGGGAAGTAACTGGATTGAGAAGGGATTTACTTATTTTTCTCCTTCTTGCCTAAAACCCAATGATTAGAAAATCAAGCAGACTGTATCTGTTTCTCTGCTAGCACCCCCAAAGAGAGTTGGTTCTGAATCAGACTCTACTGAATCTATATTGGATTACCACTCTCTGACTCTTGGGGTTGTCACGCAGAATACGCTTGGAAAACCTGGAAGTGCACTACAGGTATGCGTTGTCATGATGACTGCTTGACGTTTGCCTCTACTGCCTGGAGAAAGCTGTTGCTAGGGAAGGGACAGCAAAGCCCTAACTAGTCTGACACTCAGGGAATTAGCTGACATGCAAGGTAACTGTTGCCAACAGATCCTCTATATGCCAAGTTGATGGTACCCAAGCTGGGAAAGCCTCGTGCAGTTTGTTTAACAATTACTGTTAGGTGATGCAGAAACTGCCAGGGAGAGGAAAGAGAAGCACTCTGCCAAGGATGCTAATGCTTTGTGGAGAGCAGGGAGGTGATAATTTATTGCCAGCCTTGCCAGGAAAATCACTGTGCCATATTTGGGGTGTACTGTGCCAGCACTGCAGAGTATCTAACACCCACCAAAGCTGTGACAGATCACTTTTTTCCCTAGGACACAATCCATCTCCAATATGTAACATTACAAATACTACTAACTGTAGCACATTTTTTTTTAACCATGAGAATTTTGTTGATGAAGAGTAAACTATATGAAACTTATCTTAGTGGATGTATAAATATTTTTACCCATATCTTGTTTTTGCATCACTTTCATTTCTAACTGCATTCCTCCTCATTCCTTGCCCAGCTAGACAATTCTTGTAACAAGAAACTTTTTAAAAGAGAAAGAAAATAAAGATGATTCAGCAGAACAAACCAAAATCTTAACTGTAAGAAATTATGTATAATGTTCTACAGCCTTAAGAATAATAGCTAGCATTTCTATAGTCCTTTACAAATGTTATTTCATTTGATTCTCACAACAACCCTGGGAGGTAGGTGCTATTACTATCCCAATTTTACAGTTGAGGAAAATGAGGCAGAGGTTAAATGACTCACCCAGGGTCACACAATTAGTGTCTGAGGCTGGTTTTGAACTCAGGTCTTCCTGGCTACAGACCCAGTGCTCTATACACAGAACCACTTACTTTCATAATCCCCTCTTTTTCCAAAGTGAGGAAGGTCCTTTTTTTAATCTCTTCTCTACAAGTAAAGCTTGGTTATTATAATTATACAACATTCAGGGTTTTTTGTTGTTGTTGTTTTTATTGTTCTTTCTGTTTCCATTGTGGTAGTCTTTGTATATATTGGTTTTTTTCCTGATCCTGCTCATATCACTCAGTCAGTTCATATGTCTTACTATGCTTCTTCATATTTGTTGTTTCTTGTAGTTCATTAATATTCTATTACATTCATGTCCCACAATTTGTTCAGCCATTCCCTAAATGACAGGCACCTCCTTTATCCCCCACGTCTGTTACCACAAAGTAAGTGTTGGTGTTAAGTATTTTGGTGGATATAGTGTCTGTCTTCGTGTCTCTAACCTTGTTGGGGATGGGGGAGGGAGAAGGAGGTAGAAGAAGGAAAAGAAAAGAAATGTTTAAGTAGGGAGAAAAATTAAAGTCAAAAAAAAGTCTCCTTGGCCCATACGCCTAGCAGTTCTGTGTCTGAGTCCTTTAAAATCATTTTCTTGGCATAGTTCCAAATTGCTTTCAGAATGGTTGTGCCAATTTACTTGTCCACCAAAAGTGACTTAGAAGTATTCTTATTCACTCTCCTTTATGTCAGAGGGCACCACAGATGGGTCTGATGCTTATATGGGATAATGTTTCATTAATTAATTTATTGATCAACCAATCATCACATGTGTATTAAGCACCTATTATACATTAGGCACTGGGCAAGATGTTAGGAGATACAAAGATAAAGATGAAAGTCCCTTCCTTCAAGGAGTTTAAAGTCTTTTGGAAGAGATAACACATACATATCATTTATATATGTTGTTGTTATTTAGTCATTTTTCAGCTGTATCCAACTCTTTGTGATCCCATTTGGGGTTTTCTTGGCAGAGATACTGGAAAGGTTGACCATTTCCTTCTCCAGCTCATTTGACAGAGGAGGAAACTGAGGTAAATGGCATTGACTTGCCAAGGGTCACACAGTTAGTAAGTGTCTGAGGCCAGATTTGAACTCAGTAAAATGAATCTTCCTAACTCCAGGCCTGGCACTCCATCCCACTGTGCTACCCAGCTTTGTTCCAGCTTAAAATATAGGTAAGGTTCCCTGGTCTTTCCATCATAAAAATGAGCCCCAACCCCTCCCAAATTCAGGTCAGACATCCCCTGATTTAAACTTGCTAAATGGACTTATAGAGGTAGGCTATCCATGGTTTAGGAGAAAAGGTTTATAAGACTTTTGCTTTCTATACAAGTTGTACTTCCTGTTTCAAAACTGCAAGCTATTGCCAAGCAGACGCTATGCACACCAAGCAGAAAAACCCACAGCTCTAATCTTATTTTCACAGCCTGATATGAGAAATTATTATTCTTTTTATTTTATTTATCAGGAATTATTGCTCCTGAAAAAGTGTTGTCATAGATACTTTTTACTTTAATCAGTCTTTGATCCTGTCTTCAAACAAGCTGAAATTTGTCTCTACAGCAAAAACACTAAGTGCAATTAATATTCCTATTTATTAGTGCTCTTTGGGCTGGCTTTAATAGATTTTTTCTTTCCATTTCCAGAGGTTCAATTTTTGAATTTTGATTAATTAATCTACTTGCCCTTGATTAGAAAACTCTCCTATATTTGGTGGATGAACTGAAGCTGTTACACACATAGGGCAAGGGGAGGAGAATAAGTATTTATTATACACCTACTATGTGCTAGGCACTGCGTCAAGCTCTTTACAAATATTATCTCACGTGGCCCTCACAACAAGCCTAGGAGGTAGCTGCTATTCTAATCTCCACTTTACAGGTGAGGAAACTGAGGCAGGCAGAGGTTAAGTGACTTGTCCAGGGTCATACACCTGATAAGTGTCTAAGACTAGATTTAAACTCAGGTCTTTTTGACTCCAGGCCCAAGGCACTATCTGTTGCTTCACCTAGCTGCCTCAGATGGATTATAAATCTTTGCTTTTCTCCAAGTGTAGTAGTATCAAAGAGTGTTCATAATTTTTTCCCTTTTCCTTCTCCTAGATATTTCACAAAGAAGCCCCAATTAATTGGAATAATCTCAACCAGCTGGTCAGAAGAATCATAATATTCTGAGAGACAATTGGAGACATGCCAGGGTGCTTTACCTGAGCCACCAGCCCCATGGGGAATATTGATATAAGTGGAAGGAGACCCACCTAGGCACTAAAGAGAAAGAATGTGAACTGTGGTAAGCCACTCTGAACCAACATGGAAGTGGGGAAAGAGACCATTTTGTACAGTACAAAGAGAAACGTGTGACAACTGGGAAAGGAACAACAGAAAAAAAAATAGAGGCACCTGGAACAGTAGTTGGACCAGGGAGTTCAAAGACCAGGGGGTCTCATCCCCTGGGAAAGAGAATCACTGACATTTGCGAAATGTAGTAGGAGCTGCTTAGACAAGCATTTATATGGAGGAGCAACCCATCAGTACCCACACCCAACAAAAGCTGTACTATACTGTAAGTGATGCTGATTGTGCAGGTCTCGGGGAGTCATTCGTTGGTGGCTATCATTCTTTTTTATAGCTTTATAAGTGAGTCTCATTTGGTTTCTTTACCTTCTTAATAAACCTGTTTATGTTCTGAACCTTGCGAGCCTGTGTATTTTTAAAGGGAGTTGGCAATTACATACAGGCTGAGTGAGACAGGGATGGGAGAAAGCATGAAATTCTGAAGTTCGCAGATGTCCGGGTGGAGGTAAATCAGACAGACAGATGCACAGTCCCCCAAAAGCATGTTGTTGTTGTTGTTGTTGTTGTTGTTCAGTCATCCAGTTGTGTCCAACTCGTTGTGTTCCCATGGACCAGGCTCTTTGTGTCAAGAAAGAAATTTGAACGCAGGGGTTACTTATGACTCCGGTTTTATCTGTCTCTCGTAGGGTTTGCTCTCCTCTCAGAAAACTGTCCCTTCAATTTTGGTGTGCTTCTAACAGGAGCAAGGAGGTGCAAACTTGGGGTCTGAGAAATAAAGGCATGAGCTATGGGCATATTTGACTAAAATGAAATTAACATACTTTTCTTAAATTTTGTATGAAAAATAAATCTTTTCAAAACAGCTAAACTTAAGCAAACTTTAACAATGTATTTAAAGACTATGTCTTTGAGCAACTTTTAAAAAACAAACTCTTAGACTGATTTAGATGTCTTTCTTCCCCATTACTTAACTGCCACCATTCCTAGACCCTTACCTTCCTTTATCTCCGTATGAAATCTCCAAAGAGAGATTCTTCTTCTGTTCTTCCTTATTGCTCTTTTCTCTCATCTTTGCTTAACTTTGTCTTGAAAACCCCCTCTACCCCATGTGCTCAACAATCCAGGTTTGAGGTTAGCTTAACATAAAAACTTTGCTTATTTCCCAGCTCTTATGCCACCAGAGATGGGCAACAGTGGGTTATAGGTATAGGAAGAGAAGCTAGGATAGAACAACTAAGGCAAGGTTGGGAGTGTACACGAAGGGCAAATTATGGGGGAAAAAAAAGACCAGGATGTCAATAACCAAGATAGAGTCAAAGGGATTGGAAGCATATCAGTAGTCTAGAATGGGAACCCAGGACCAAATGTCAGAGTACACAAGCAAGAATCTGAATATGCCAAATATCTCTCTAAACAAAGGGATTCTTAATCTGGTATCTGTGAATACATTTCAAGGGACCCATGAACTCGGATAGAAAAAAAAATAACGTCTTTATTTTCACCAACTTCTAAACGAAATTTAGCATTTGCTTCAACTATTTAAAGACATTATTTTGAGAAGGGTTCCATAGGATTTAGCAAACTGCCAAAGAAGGCCATGACACAAAAAACAGCCCCAAGGAACTTTTTCTCCAAACCCTAAATCTGTTTTTTTTTCCTTTTCTTTTCCCTTCACTCTGGTATTTGACTCAAATCAGCATACTGTACCAAAGGTGTTTATCAGTTGTGGCTAGCTGATTTCCCTGAGTAAAATCTCCAAGGCACTTGCTTCTTCTTTACAAACTTCCCCCCAGAAAATTTAAAGAGACCATTTCCCTTAAAGAACAAAGCATTCTGAACAGAAATTGGAGCAGCAAAATTAAACATGTTTTAAGAAAGAGGAATATTCTGAAAATCCTGCAGCTAGATAAAAGCAGCAGGGACAGTCAAGAGCTTGGTTCAGGGAAGGACAACAGGCCACTGAGACTATGGCATCTCAGAGGAGGTAAGATTGGCTCCAGAAAGCCTAATATCACACTCTCAGTGGGAGTTGCCAACAAGCAAGGGATAAATAGAGGATGAAGTCTTATCTCCCATTGGATAAATTTCAAAATGCCCTGTGGTAGGAGCCAGGATTAAGATCTTTGCCAAAAACAAAAAAATTAAGCATCAAGTTAAAACAATAGACAGCAGAATTTTTTCCCGTAGTTCCCATAACGGCTCCCCATTTCTGCCTTGCTACCTGTAAGCCTTACTGAGAATATTAATAAGATAACAAACCATGCTCATTATACAAGCCAAAGACATGTTTCCAGGAAACATCTTCCTTTAGCTAACGAACCCAAGTCCAAGAGCCAAAGGGCCTATCTGTTTGAAGTTACTGAACATTTTTCTCCCTGGATAAACATCTGGTTATTTTTTATAAGGACCTCAGGACTGGGTGGGAATCACACAGAGGACCTTGAGTAAATTTCATAATACCAAAACAATCCACAGCAGTACATTGGTTCCACAACAGAATTCGCTTGTGTATATTCCCATTTCTGTCTATGATGCCAAGGCTTCTTAATGGAAAGGATAAAAGGATTTATTTAAGCTAGCCCATGTTGGTACTGGTTTTAATGAAATAAACCCCCTTTTCAGATGGTTATGCCAGAAATGCAGCTGTTCCAGTTAATTGGGTCTCCCAGGACCCTTAGATGACTGGTTTGGGTGGAGAGAAGACACTTTGGTTGTCTACAGGAAGAAAACCAGGCGGATGCCCTAGTGCTAATGTCTGTACAGATGTCCTTAAAATCCTTGAATATGACACTAAAGATTCTGATGACCAGACAAAAGATTTTAGTACACTAAAAGATAGTGAACATTTTAGCTCAAAAGATATGAGGTAAAGACTGGCATTTCCTCATTCAGGATGATAGGATCATAATTCTAAAATGGAAAGGAACCTCAGCAACCTTGTAATCCACTCCCCTGATTTTATGTAATAGAAAACTGAGGACCAAGGAAATGAAGTGACTTCTCCAAAATCACACAAGAAGTAAGTATCAGTGCAGTCCTCATTTGGTAAATCAGCAAAAATGGTATGATACAGAGTGGCCACTACTTGGTTTTTATCTCTATTTACCATACTTTGGGAGGAGAAAAGTTTCTGGTTCTCTGTTGTTTTAATTGTCCAAATAGGAAAACCTTCTGGATACTTAATAATCAATCATAGATTTAGAACTAGAGGAGATCTAAAAGATTGTCAATCTAGCCCCCTCATTTTGTAGGTGAGAAAACTTAGGTCATGAGATATAAATTGACTTGCTCAGAGTCACACAGATATTAAGTACTGGGGATGGAATTTGAACACAGTTCCTTTGACCCTAGAATCAGTGCACTTTCTAGTATACCGTGCTGTTTCAAAGAAATATTTTTCATATTTCACTTCATTTATTTCATTATTTCATTCATTTCATTATTCCTTTACAGAGAGGCAAAATGAATTATCTGGGTCAGTCAACAAGCAGGTGTACTAAGCACTGAAAATACAAAGATAGATTTTAAAAAGTCCCTCTCCTCAAAAAAGTCTAAGGAGGGAGAACATGTAAATAACTAGGCATATGCAAGATATATAAAAAGAAGTTGTGTGCCTAAAGAGTATCCCAGGATTGTTAAAAGCACAGCGCAATTTCCCAAATGCCACCCAGCCCATCCTTTTCCATGTACCGCAGCTTAGATCTAGCTCTTTGTCCATCTTTAGAATCTGTCTACAGTACATGTACCAATGGATTAAGTCAATGGGTTACCTAGCAACTGCATGTCAATAGTCCATTTGATTTATCCATTTGGTTTTTCCTCACCGGGTTGTTAGGATAATTTGTCTTCAGTCATTGCAGTTCTTATAGAGGCTACCATGTTATATTCTGGGGCTGCTGCATTCAGCGCAATATTATCCTCAAATACCCAGAGGCATCTGCATAGGACAACTTCCATGATAATGATTTTTTAAAAAATCTCTGGTAAGTATACATTTGTCTTCCTGTCATATACTTTACTTCTATCAAGATAGTAGTCTATACAGCCTTAGCACAGACATAGGAGATACCCTTTTCCTCTTAAGATTATAGTATACCAAAGGTCATGTTTTGAATTAATGAATGAAAAGTAAGTCAGTAATAACTAGAACCCCAAACTTTCTTCTGAGTCTGTGCTATGTGCAGTTACTCTGGTTCTCCAAAGTACTAGAGCAACACATATATCATCTTGTATGTGTGTGCATTAGTTCTTTTTTTAAGTTTTTATTTATTTAATGTTTAATTTATGGAATAAAACAAGCATTTCCATAACATAGTATAATAAAGAAAGATAATTGCACATGAAACTGAAAATCTATTATGTACGACTTGCTATTCCCTTTAAATATATAATAAAGTTATCTTGTAAACTTCTTTTTTCCCTTTCTTTTTTCTTCCTACCCCCCTACCCTAGAGATGGCTGCCATTAGACACAAATGTGTGTGCGTGTGTCTCTGTCTCTATATATACGTATATGTATGTTAGATCATTCTATACATACTTCTGTTTAACAGTTTTTTCTCTGAATGCAGATAGCATCTTCCTTCATAGGTCTTTTGTAGTTAATTTGGGTATCTATAACAGTCAAAATTACTTATTTGCTCAAATTGTTCTTAAAACATTGCCATCTCTAGAGTGGAGGAGAGGAGAGGGGAAAAGGGGGAAAAAGAAATTCACATGATGACTTTATTATATATTTAAAGAAAATAGCAAGTTGTACATAATAGATTTGCAGTTTCATGTGCAATCATCCTTTTTTTATTATACTGTTATAGAACTGCTTGCCTTTAATTCTATGAATTAAAAATTATATTTAAAAATATTTCTGTTACTGTATACAACATTCTCTTGGTTCTGCTCATTTCACTCTTCTTCATTTCATGAAAGTCTTTCCATATTTTCTAAGACCATTGAGCTCATCATTTCTTATAGCACAATAGTATTCCACCCAAATTACATACCACAACTTGTTCATTCCACAATTGACAGGGATCCCCACAATTTCCAATTCTTTGCCACCACAAAGAGAGCTGCTATAAATATTTTAAAACATATAGGTTCATTTCCTTTTCCCCTAATCATCTTTGGAAATAGACCTAGTAGTGGTATTGCTTGGTCAAAGAGTATAGGCAGCTTAATAACTCTTTGGGAATATGCATGTCATCTTAAGGATTCATTAAACAGATAAATTCTGGCACCTGGGAAAATTTTAGTTGAGGGAGAAAGAGGAAGAGACAGAAACCTAAAGGTTGCTGCTGGGAAAAAAAAAAACAGTACATGCTGACATTGATGTTGAATTGGCTTGTATGCAGCTAGTTATGTACATTTCAGAATGTACGCGTTAGAATGTTAGCTCCTTAAAGATAGGAACTGTTTCGTTTCTTTTTTTTTATTGCACTTGTTTGTTTGTTTTACCTTTCTTTGTGTCTCCAGCAGTACCTAGAACCTAGTATGTGCTTCGTAAATGCTAGTTAACTGATCGTTCCATGGGATACTGGTCCCTAGCTCTAGTAGCAAGATATAGGCAATTCCCTTGCCCTAACCTCATCCCCTCCCACATTGAGTACAGCCAAGGGTAAA